CCCCAAAACCCCAAAACCCCAAAACCCCAAAACCCCAAAACCCCATTGTTTCCTAGACTGGTTGAAATATATAATATTAAAAATGGATAATTCAAATGCAAATGTAGGAACGAATCTGCAAACAGATGTTCCCCAAGAAAATGATCCTTTTGGCCTTGGAGCTAACCTGTCTGCTCAAAAGGAAGAGCAAGAGATCGAGAATGAAGATCTGGATATCGATACCTTCTTCAAGGAGAATCTTGAAACTGTGAAATTAAATCAGAACAATGATCTTGAGAACGCTACGAAGCCACAACCTGAAGCAGAAGCTGCTCCTTCAACTCTTTCTAAAGTGTCTAGATTTATGTCTGTTGAATACTTTAAGAACGCCTTTAATATCAATACTGATGATGTTCTAGAGAGAATTAAATACTCATTGTTCCCATTCAGAGCAGGTGGATTGTTTAAAAACAGAGAATACGACCTTTATGGGCCTCTATGGATCCTTCTGACAGCTGTTTTTACAACTTCCATCTTTGGGACTGCCTTTTTCTCAACTGAAAAGATAGCTAAAGAGAAAGCAACCAGCATTTCATTGCATCAGATAGGGAAATCTTTCATTCTCTCTTTGATATATCTCCTCATTTGCCCACTTGTAGTCTACTATCATTATACCAAAGAAGGAGCACGAAGCGCCCAATACCTTGAGATTGTGTCCATCTACGGCTATTCCTTTGCAATCCTTCCAGTGATTGAAGTACTGATCCTCATTCCTCTAGGATGGTTTAGACTCTGATTCTTAGCTGCAGGTGCCTTCATCAGCGGGTTCCTAATCAGAAGAGAACTTTTTGACCTCAACAAAAAGTACCTACCCAGAAAAGAAATAACTTACATCAGAAACTACGGAGTAATCGCCCACGTAATCTGGCTACTTCTATTCAAGTTGCTCTTCTTATAAAGTTAAAAATTTTAGGTGATTCAACTCTCACTAGAAAATACGGGGTTTTGGGGTTTTGGGGTTTTGGGGTTTTGGGG